GATTTATACAGTTTTACAGTTTTATGTCTGGCCAGAGGGTGCCGTGGCACGCTGGCGGGGGTAGGAGGTCCAGTTTTTAGGGGGTCTCTCCCATGGAATAGAGTGGGAGGCAGTTTGAACTCTGCTCGCTTGTTTGCATGGAGTAAACTGCGCCAGCCCTTGTTGTGGGGGAGGGGACTCCCGTGTGCTTGGTGGTGGATTTTGTACCTTTTAGTTGTAATTTCAGGGTCGCAGCTCGCCTCAGGAAGGTTGAAGTGCACTCTTCAATCTTCTCTCTTGTCTCTGCTCCAAACCATCAGCTACTTTGCTAAGGTTCTGTCCTTTCAGCCTCCTTCTGGACGGGAGCTTCTGTAAAAAGCTGGCTGCAGTTCGCCATCTTGGCTCCGCCCCCCCTTGAAATACTTTTCTAAGAAGAATATGTTCCGGCTCCATCCATGTAAATATGTAAGAGTTAAAGTCTCCGTCTTTCTTTAAGGCTGCATAATATTCCATGGTGTACGTTTACCACAATTTATTGATCCATTCATGGGTCGATGGGCACTTGGGCTTCTTCCATTACTTAGCAATTATTAATTGTGCTGCTGTAAACATTCTGGTACATGTATCTTTGTTATAATGTGATTTTTGGTCTTCCAGATATATACCTAGTAGAGGAATTGTAGGATCGAATGGCAGGTCTATTTTTAGATCTCTAAGTGTTCTCCAAACATCTTTCCAAAAGGAAGGTATTAGTTTGCATTCCCACCAGCAATGTAGAAGTGTTCCCTTTTCTCCACATCGACACCAACATTTTTCCATTTTTTTTGAGACAGAGTCTCAAGCTGTCACCCTGGGAGAGAGTGCTGTGGCATCACAGCTCACAGCAACCTCAAACTCTTGAGCTTAAGCAATCCTCTTGCCTCGCCTTCCAAGTAGCTGGGACTACAGGCGCCTATCACAATGCCCAGCTATTTTTGATTGTAGTTGTCATTGTTGTTTGGAGGGCCTGGGCTCGATTCGAACCCGCCAGCTCCAGTGTATGTGGCTGGTGCCCCAGCCACTTGAGCCACAGGTGCCGCTGAGCCTAGGATCTCGTTTTGAAGAAATGTGTGGAGAGGGGCTAGGTGCAGTAGCTCATGCCTATAATCCCAGCACTCTAGGAGGCCGAGGCAGGTGGATTACCTGAGCTCACAAGTTTGAGAACAGCCTGTGCCAGATTGAGACCCCATCTCTAAAAGTAGCCGGGCACTATGGCAAGCACTTGTAGTCCCAGCTACTTGGGAGGCTGAGGCAGGAGAATCATTTGAGCCTAGAGTTTGAGGTTTGAGGTTGCTGTGAGCTGTGATGCCATAGCACCCCTTATCTCCAGGGCTGGCAATAAGGGATTGGGGAAGGGGAACCAAAGAGTCAAGAAGGGAAGGCACCTGAAGGTTTCTCTTTCTGGGGACTGAAGACAGCCAGGAGGTGCAGATTCCTGACTCCTTATGCCTATGCTTATGGTTCATTGGGTCTTAGTTTGAACTTTGGAATCCGCTTTTTATTTAGTTGGGTTTTGTTCTTTTTTTGAGACAGTCTCACACTTTCACCTAGCCAAGAGTGCAGTGGTGGCATCATCATAGCTCACTGCAACCTTGAAGTAATGGGCTCAAGTGATTTTTCTGCCTTAGCCTCCCAAATATATAGGACTATATAGGTGTGTGCCATCATGCCTGGCTATTTTTCCTATCTTCTGTAGAGATAGGTCTCACTCTTTCTCAGGCAGGTCTCAAACTCTTGGCCTTAAGCAGTCCTCTTGCCTCAGTCTCCCAAAGTGCTTGGATTACAAGTATGAGCCACTGTGCCCAGGCACATATTTATATATGTATATAATCAGTTAAGACTGCCATCTTTTTCCATTTCAGTTATCCTTAAGTCTTATTTTCTTCTCCTGTTATAACCATGTGGGCATATCTAAAATCTTGTTAACATTGACTGGGTTACATTTATGTGCTTTGAAATCTCTAACACGTATGTAGTATAGTTTGCATTATTGCTGGCCATCTCTGGGATGTCTTCTAGAAATACTCTCAATAGGGTCAATTCAAAGAATACTGAAGAAAAGTCACTTCATAGAAAACTCAAAATACCTGGAAATCTTATAATTCAGACATAAAAGAAACTCAATAGAGATTTCCCCAAATTCAACAATCCTGTAGGTTACATGGTATTACTAGTGAATAGTAGAGAATGTAAAGAAACCTCTATAAATTGTCAAAAAGAAAAATAAAAAGCAATTTTCTATTAAAAAGTGTATTGCTATGTAATCTTAAATGAAACCATGTCACTATATAGAACATTAAAATTTGACTTGGTGCCTGGAGCTCAAGTGGCTAAGGCTCCAGCCACATATACCAGAGCTGGCAGGTTCGAATCCAGCCTGGGCCTGCCAAACAACAATGACAACTACAACAACAACCAAAAAAAATGCCCGGTCATTGTGGTGGACACCTGTATCCCAGCTACTTGGGAGGCTGAGGCAAGAGATTGCTTAAGCTCAGGAGTTGGAGGTTGCTGTGAGCTGTGATGCCACGGCACTCTACCCAGGGCGACAGCTTGAGGCTCTATTTAAAAAAAGAAAAGAATATTAAATTATATAGATGTTTATAGATGGTATATATAAAATATCATTCAATAAAACTAGATTATATTGTTTATTTCAATAGAAGGGGACATGTACCATTGGTAACCATAGTTGCCTGTTTCCTTGATTGCACAGGGAGAAGACATCCATTATCAGAAAAAAAAATTATGTACTATATGTACCAGTTATGTAAATCCCTTGATCATATGCACAGGTACGCTATTGGGGCTTTGACAGCTCTGAAATTAATATAATGTATTAACATTTGTTTAAAATACAATTCACATTCAAGAATTTGAATCAATAAAGTACAAGTAATTCTATTCTTTTTTTACTGAATGTAGAAATGGAATATTTCACAGAGATGTAAAACCAGAAAATATACTAATAAAGGTAAGAACTTTTATATGAAGATTTGCTATCAGAATAAAGGTAGAATATAAAAAACTTTTTCACTGGATATGCATTCATTTCCAGATAGCTGGTTAGCATGTTTGTTGTACTATTTTTTCCCTCTCAGTTTATAAAAGATGGCTTGCTTAATAAATGCCATGTACATAATTGACTGTACACCTGGAAGAAAATAATAGAAGGTACCCTTCTCACGCTGTAGACAAAAAATGAACTTCTTTATAATTGTCATTCTACATTTTCTTTTGAGACAGGGTCTCACTCTGTCACCCAGGCTGGAGTACAGTGGACTCATCAGTCATAGCAACCGCACATTTCTGGGTTCAAGCGAGCCTCGTGCCTCAGCCTCCAGAGTAGGTAGGCTACAGGTAGGCAGGCATCACCACGCCCAGCTAATTTTTTCTATTTTTAGTAGAGACAGGAGTCTTACTCTTATTAAAGCTGGTCTTAACTCCTGACCTCAAGGGATCCTCCCAGCTGGTAAAGTGCTGAGATTATAGTTGTGAGCCATCTCTATAGATTCCAACTGTCATTCTTAACACTCTAAAGGGAAACTGGTAGAGGCAGGATTTGCCCTCAGTCTGTCTCACTGTAAAGCCACCAAAGCTACCTATATTTAAAGCAGACAATTTGGCTCGGCGCCTGTGGCTCAATCGGCTAAGGCGCCAGCCATATACACCTAAGGTGGCGGGTTCAAATCCCCAGCCCAGGCCCGCCAAACAACAATGATGGCTGCAACCAAAAAATGGCTGGCCCTGTGGCGGGCGCCTGTAGTCCCAGCTACTTGGGAGGCTGAGGCAGGAGACTCGCTTGAGCCCAGGAATCTGAGCTTGCTGTGAGCTGTGAAGCCATGGCACTCTACCCAGGGAGATAGCTCGAGGTTCCGTCTCAAAAAAAAAAAGAAAAAAAAAAAAAGACAATTTGTAGGTGTTCCGGATGTCCCTAGCTGGAGTCCCCAGAAGCCAAATGAGTAAACGAGCCCCAGTAGGGGAGCTGGGAGCTCAGCTGCCATAGAGCCAAGTGGCATACTAGGACATTTGGTAGTAAGTCCATTCATTTTATTTTATTTTATTTTATTTTATTTTTTGAGACAGAGCCTTAAGCTATCCCCCTGGGTAGAGTGCTGTGACATCACAGCTCATAGCAACCTCCAACTCTGGGGCTCAAGCGAGTCTCCTGCCTCAGCCTCCCAAGTAGCTGGGACCACAGGCGCCCGCCACAACGCCCAGCTGTTTTTTGGTTGCAGCCGTCATTGTTGTTTTGGCAGGCCTGGGCTGGATTTGAACCTGCCACCTTAGGTGTATGTGGCTGGTGCCTTAGCCACTTGAGCCACAGGCACCGAGCCAGTCCATTCATTTTAGAAGCACACCATGACTTAAACATTTTCAGAACTCAGGGACATTTGGAAATGCATGTGAAATACAGCTAGAATATTTGAAAACATGTTCTACTGACTATAAACACCACTTCCTTATATGTTAGAGGCACTTTCACAAATTATTGCTCATAAAACCAGTAATTTGTATTTTACAAATGAGTTTAGATGCTGTCATTATTCCATTAATCCGTACATGGTTGAAATGGTCTGTATTACAGCAACTGTACAATGAGATGTTACTATCCTTGCTTTTCTCCCCCTTGCAGCAGGATGTTCTAAAATTAGGGGACTTTGGGTCCTGCCGGAGTGTGTATTCCAAGCAGCCATATACTGAATACATCTCTACGCGCTGGTACAGAGCCCCAGAGTGTCTCCTCACTGATGGGTTCTACACATACAAGATGGACCTGTGGAGCGCTGGCTGTGTGTTCTACGAGATTGCCAGGTAGCTCGGGGACATGGAAAGGGTAGAACAGTGGCTCCATGCCAGCTCCTTCCTTTGTGATCCATTTACAATCACTCTGAGTTTTGTTTGTTTGTTTTTTAATTCAACAGAAAATTTACTAGACTTTCATTTTACTTTTTGTCAAATGCTTTTCCTTGCTCACTCTTCACAGAGAACAAGCACCATCAGTTGCTTCTTTTCGTTCTGCCCCCTTAGCCCTGAGTTTGGGGACCTCTTCATCTGGTTTGATAATGAAGTGATGATAAAAGGAGTGTTCCAGAACAGAGAATTGTGCTTAGCTCCTGCTTGGGCCTGCCATGGGGAGGGTTGAGCAGGTAGCCCCTGGGTCCTACTTGAAGAGGTAATCATATCAGGTAGAGTGCTCTGGCCCTACATGCATGGATGAGGCCCCTCTGGCACAGTTGGAGTTGGGCTCTATCTAGAAACCTCTGATCCCAACTATCCCTCACCCAAGCTCCAAAACCCATGCTCCCCCCAGCCTTTGGGAAGGAGCAGTGGCCCAGGGAAGAGGGATGAGGGTATGTCCCACTCAGAGGTGTGTAGGGTGGGAGTTAAAGAAGTCCATAGACGGGGTAAGGCAGTACCTTCTTGCTTGTGGTGGATCTTCAGGGCAGTTGGTACTGAATTCAGTATCTGGTGGCACATATCTGAAGGGTAGAACCCAGCAGAGCAGGGACCCAGATGTTGTCTAATCCTACCTGCTTAACTGACTGTTACAAAAATGCAGACAGATGTATACTCTGGAACATTCTCTTTGATTCTAGAATCTAGATCATTTGTATTAGTAATTTGTTCTTTTGGAAAACTGAGTGGCAATTTCACTGAAGCCGAAAGTCCCTTTTCATGTGTTAAAATCAATTGAATTAATTTGGAAGGGTGTTAAAGGACTCAAAAGTTAAGAACATGACAGCTAATGGTGTCTAATCGGAATGTTAGGCAGCCTATGGTAAATCAGTTCTCAGTCTGTTTCCTGTTCACCCACATTTTCTTTTTTATTCCTTTAGTCACAAGATATTGATTGCTATTTTCCTGAGTAGAAGCTAGTTCTGACTCAGCGCCTGTGGCTCAAGTGGCTAAGGCGCTAGCCACATACACCTAAGATGACGGGTTCAAATCCAGCCTGGCCTGCCAAAACAACAATGATGGCTGCAACCAAAAAATAACCAGGCGTTGTGGCGGGCGCCTGTGGTCCCAGCTACTTGGGAGGC